ATAGCCTTGATCAGACAGACCTTTGTTGGCAAAGTAATGTCTCTGCTTTTTAATATGCTGTCTAGGTTGGTCATAACTTTCCTTCCAAGGAGTAAGCATCTTTACATGTGGAATTTTTTCAATAAATATAGAAACTGCATTTTCCTTTTACAGATCTTTAAGTTAAATAAGTGTGGGGAAAAGCTTGTGCTTGATTATAGGTCACAACATATGCAATAAAAAAAACCCTAGGATTTGAGTCCTGATTCTGTTCAATTCTGCCGTGGGTGAATCACTTATCAGTTTATTTGTTTTCAACGCAACAGTAGCAGTACTCCAGTTGGCACCCCTACCCACCATGTTGCTCAGTGGCCAATTGTATAATATATTATAAAATAGCTCATATTGTGTTTATCATACTTAGATCTTAACAGTTTGCAAAAGAGTATATCAGTAGGAAGTACCATTGCTTATTAGTCTATAGACAACATTCAGTATACATGTGAATTTGCACAAACCTGAAGAGGTATGGAGTTTATAACACACAAGTGCATGAGTGCATGCTAAGTCACTTTAGTCGTGTCTGACTCTGTACGACACTATGGACTGTAGCCCACCGGCTCCATGGGATTCTCTGGACAAGAATACTGGATTGGGTTGTCATGCCCTTCTCCAGCAAATCTTCCCAACTCAGGGATCGAACCCATGTCTCCTGCAGTTACTGCGCTGCAGGCGGATTCTTTACCACTGAGCCACCAGAGAAGCCCTCACATCACACGGACAGTCCACATGTTGACCCTGGTTATCTGTAAAGGAGGATTTATAACTGGACATTTTTAACTAATTAGAATCCTCCCAGGATTTTTATGTGGAAGTTACACTAATATGATCTACCTCATCCCCTCACCAGATCTTGTCTCAAGACAAACAAAAGCCACATAAATTGAAGGAGTTTAGCTCCTTAGAAACTTAATATAAGAAATTATTGACTAGAGCTACTGGGAGGCATGCTTAGAATGCAATTATAATTAAGAAAGCCTAAATCTAATTAAGTCTATTGTCTTAGAATTGACTGTATTAAATGAAGAGGTGAGCCCACAGCAGAAGTGGGGCGTGGTAGGAAAATAAAAGGTGTCCATGAGTCTCTTGTCCTGTGTAGGGAAGAAGGCAACTCTGACCTATGAACACAAACACGCCAATCTCTTTAACACAGATATCCCTACACCATGGTGGTGTAAATCCTGATGATTGCATCAATTAAATCTGCATTTATCTTCATTTGTTCTGATCCAAGTTTACCAGTCAACATTCTGGTGATAATTTGTGGCTTTCGGTGTGGGTTTGCCTATGCATATAATTGTGCTCATCTTAAGATAATAAAATGGCATTCTGGATTATTAATATTATTATTTAGCAGTTGCAATGAATGAATTTATTTAGCATGAGTCCTGAGGAAATCCTCCAGCAGGAATCAGGTTTGGCACCTCCAAAAAGGACAGACCAGGGGACAGGACCACAGGTACTCCTGGCTCACTTCCAGCTGTTGTCTGTAAGTGACAACTTTGCAGCTCACTCTCTGTGACAGAAGATTGGGTCAGATGCAGAGCTCCAACACTCAGGGCTGTTTAACCTTGGGTTTTCCTAGTAAGGAAGGTCTTCTACTACATTGTTCTCCCTGCTGAAAAGTGGGTTAAATCACATTTTTGCTTGATTTGGAATTAAGTTATTTAAATTATTGAACTTTAAAATTATTTAAACTACATCAATTGTTTAAACTATTTTCAGGGGCGTCCCTCGTGGTCCAGTGGTTAAGACTTCACACTTTCAGCGCAGGGGGTGTGTGTTCAATCCCTGTTCAGGGAATTAAGATTGCATATGCCTCGCAGAGCAGACAAAAAAAAAAAAAAAAAGCCCAAATGAACTATTTTCAATAACTACCGCTTACATGGTTGCTCAGTCGGTAAAGAATCTGCCTGCAATACACGAGATGCAGGTTTGATCCCCGTGTCACGAAGCTCCTCTGGAAAAGGGAATAGCTACCCACTCCAGTGTTAATGCCTGGAGAATCCCACGACAGAGGAGCCTGGTGGTCTACAAACCGTGGGGTTGCAAAGAGTCCAACACGACTGACCGACTAACAACACAGACACCACTTACATACCATATTCATTGATTCAGTTCACTGGTCATCTTGAACAATGAACAAAACATTTTGGTGGGAGATATATGATTATAAAGATAGACTGTAAAATTGTGGACGCAACCCAAGTGTCTCTGACAGATGAATGGATAAACAACAAGGGAGGGAGGAAAGGGAAACTATTATTTAATAGATATGGAGCTTCAGTTTTGCAAGATAAAAAGAACTCTAGAGAAGGATTACAAATAGCTTACAAATACGATTACAAATAGCTTACAAATACGATTACAAATAGCTTACAAATACGATTACAAATAGCTTACAAATAGTTGAAAAAAGAAGAGATGCTAAAGGCAAAGGAGAAAAGGAAAGATATATCCATTTGAAAGCAGAGTTTCAAAGAATAGCAAGGAGAGATAAGAAAGCCTACCTCAGTGATCAATGCAAAGAAATAGAGGAAAACAATAGAATAGGAAAGACTATAGAGATCTCTTCAAGAAAATTAGAGATACCAGTGGAACATTTCATGCAAAGATGGGCACAATAAAGGACAGAAATGGTATGGATCTAACAGAAGCAGAAGATATTAAGAAGAGGTGGCAAGAATACACAGAAGAACTGTACAAAAAAGATCTTAATCACCAGATAAGCACGATGGTGTGATCACTCACCTAGAGCCAGACATCTTGGAATATGAAGTCAAATGGGCCTTAGGAAGCATCACTACGAACAAAGTTAGTGGAGGTGATGGAATTCTAGTTGAGCTATTTCAAATCCTAAAAGGTGATGCTGTGAAAGTGCTGCACTCAATATGCCCGCAAATTTGGAAAACTCAGCAGTGGCCACAGGACTGGAAAAGGTCAGCTGACATTCCAATCCCAAAGAAAGGCAATGCTCCAAAATGTTCACACTACCGGACAATTGCACTCATCTCACATGCTAGAAAAGTAATGCTCAAAATTCTCCAAGCCAGGCTTCAACAGTACGTGAACTGTGGACTTCCAGATGTTCAAGCTGGATTTAGTAAAGGCAGAGGAACCAGAGATCAAATTGCCAACATCCGCTGAATCATTGAAAAAGCAAGAGAGTTCCAGAAAACCATCTACTTCTGCTTTATTGACTATGCCAAAGCCTTTGACTGTGTGAATCACAACAAACTGTGGAAAATTCTGAAAGAGATGGGAATACCAGACCACCTGACCTGCCTCTTGAGAAATCTGTATGCAGGTCAAGAAGCAACAGTTAGAACTGGACATGGAACAACAGAGTGGTTCCAAATGGGGAAAGGAGTATATCAAGGCAGTATATTGTCACCCTGCTTATTTAACTTATATGCAGAGTACATCATGTGAAATGCCGGGCTGGATGAAGCACAAGCTGGAATCAAGATTGCTGGGAAAAATATCAATAACCTCAGATATGCAGATAACACCACCCTTATGGCAGAAAGTGAAGAGGCAATAAAGAGCCTCTTGATGAAAGTGAAAGAAGAGAGTGAAAAAGCTGACTTAAAACTCAACATTCAGAAAACTAAGATCATGGCATCGGGTCCCTATCTATGGCAAATAGATAGGGAAAAAATGGAAACAGTGACAGACTTTATTTTTTGGGTTCCAAAATCACTGCAGATGGTGACTGCAGCCATGAAACTAAAAGACGCTTGCTCCTTGGAAGAAAAGCTATGACCATCCTAGACAGCATATTAAAAAGCAGAGACATTACTTTGCCAACAAAGGTCCATGGGTTCGCAAGGAGTTGGACAGGACTGAGGGACAGAACTGAACTGAACTGAGAGAAGGACGGTGGTGATGGTAGCACAACCTGAAGGTACTTAATGTCACTGAACTGTAAGCTTAAACGGGGTTAAATGGTACATTTTATGCTAGATTTCGGTTCCTGCCCTAAACTGCTTACAGCCTTCCTGAGAGCCCAAACAGGAAAGCGGGAATAGCGATATGGGAATGCAGACTAGAGAGAGGTTAATAAGAGGCCCGCCCGCCCATTTCACGGAGAAACTGACACAGAGGCCGGCCATTAGGGAACTCCTTCGAACGTGGGCCTTCCCTGGTGGCTCAGACTGGAAAGGGTCTGCCCGCAGTGCGGGAGACCTGGGTTCGATTCCTGGGTTGGGAATTTCCCCTGGAGAAGGAAATGGCAACCCACTCCAGTACTCTTGCCTGGAAAATTCCATGGACTGAGGAGCCTGGTAGGCTACAGTTCACGGGGTCGCAAAGAGTCAGACACGACTGAGCGACTTCACTTTCACTTTCGAATGCCGAAAATCCGTTGAGCAGAAGCTTCCCATTCCTGCTTGAATAACCTAAAGGCTTAGGAGACTCGGAGTCGGGCAAGACAGAGCGACTAAGCACAGGCTAGCCCACTCTGACCGCGTTGGCCCGCTGTTCTCTTTTGGCTCTGCCTCCAGGGGATGGAACTGAAGCTGAAACTCCAGTACTTCGGCCACCTGATGCGAAGAACTGACTCATTGGAAAAGACCCTGATGCTGGGAAAGACTGAAGGCGGGAGGAGAAGGGGACGACAGAGGGTGAGATGGTTGGATGGCATCACTGACTCAATGGATATGAGTTTGAGTAAAGTCCGGGCGTTGGTGATGGACAGGAAGGCCTGGCGTGCTGCAGTCCATGATGTCGCAAAGCGTTAAGACACGACTGAGCCACTGAACTGAACCAGTGTGAGGGGTGGTGGAAGGAGAAGCCCTCACTGACCAGCAGGGGGCGGTGGCGCCCTTAGCGTGTCGCCAGGCGCGCAGGGGGCGCTCTGGCCCGCCGCTCCTCCCCGCCTCGGCGATCCTTCCTTCCGCCGTCGGAGCCCGCCTCTCGTCGCTAGTGCGCAGCTGCATGCACGCTGGTCTGTGGGGACCATGGCGGCGGCGTCGAGCGGCGAGAAGGAGAAGGAGCGGCCGGGCGGCGGCTTAGGAGCTGCCGGCGGTAACAGCACGCGAGAGCGGCTGCTGTCAGCGCTGGAAGATCTGGAGGTCTTGTCGAGGTGAGGCCGTCGGCCCGAGGCCCTTGCTAGGACTGGGCCGGGAGGCGTGAGTCGGGACCACCGGCCTGCCTTGGGCTGGTTCCCCGGGGCTCGAAGGGGAGGGCCGCGCCCCGGGGGACAGTGCCCGAGCGACGTGGAAGTGGGTCTGCAACCCTCAATGATTCGGGGTCAGCAACCCTCTTTGTTGTTCAGTCAGTCACTCGTTTCCGACTCTGCGAGCCCGTGGACTGCAGCAGGCCGGGCTTCCCCGTCCTTCGCCATCTCCGGGAGCTTGCTCAGACTCACGTCCATCTGAATATTGACAGTGACCCTGGATCCCCAGAATATGGGAATCTTAGCGGACGTTAGAGGTCGCCGGGTGTGGGTCCCTTCGTCCACCGACACTCGACAGACGTATGAGGAACTCCCGTGGCTGCTGCGCGCTGGGAGACGGTCCCCAGGGGTGAGACCAGATGCCGACGGCGACGAGGAGCCTGGTGTCAGTGGGGAGAGCCCACTGAGCCAGAGGAACGTCTGTGTCAACAGTGACTGTGGCGCGGCGCCTCCTCAAGGCCTGTCCCCAGTGTAGTGAGATACTGTGTTAGTTTGAGGTGTACAGTGGAGAAGGCACTAGCAACACGCTCCAGTACTCTTGCCTGGTGGGCTACAGTCCATGGGGTCGCAAAGAGTCGGACACAACTGAACGACTTCACTTTCTTTCTGTAGTTCCTTTTGAAGAAGGAAATGGCAACCCACTCCAGTGTTCTTCCCTGGAGAATCCCATGGACCGTGGGGCCTGGTGGGCTGCAGTCTATGGGGTTGCAAAGAGTCGGACATGACTAAGCAGCTAACACACACACACACACGTGTACAGCAGAGTGGTTCAGTTATGTGTGTATATGTATATATATATCAGTTATCCAGTTCTAGCGCCTACTGTTTGCTTCATGACAGGCCAACAGAGAGATGAATTGTTGGGGCAGGGGAATAGCGACTTTATTCAGAAAGCCAGCAAACCGTGAAGATGGTAGAATTGTGCCCTAAAGAGCCACCTGTCTGAGTTAGAATTCAGGCTTCTTTTATACTAGAAGGGGAGGCAGATCAAATGTTTCCCTCAGCTTCCGGAGGGGAATTATTAATTTCTTCCTCCCTGCAGTCCTTCATGGGTGGGCCTGGTCAGGATGTTTCCTGTGAGCTAAACAAGGTATTTTAGCTTAATGCTTATTACCTGGGAGCCAGGGTTCCCAGAGATGGGACATTTTGTATGATTTAAGCTTAGAGGCAACATGTCTTTAGTGATTTAACTGTTAGAAGAATACCGAGGTTTGTTTTTTACCTATTACTTATCTATTCTTTTTCAGATTGTTTTCCCATATAGGTTATTACAGAGTATTGAGTAGAGTCCCCTATTCTATACAGTAGATCCTTGTTGACGATTTGTTTTATATGGAGTAGTGTGTATATGCTAATCCCGACCTCCTGATTTATCCCTCCTACTTCCCACTTTTCCCCTTTGGTAACCCTAAATTTGTTTTCCAAGTCTTGAGTCTTTCTGTTTTGTAAATGAGTTCATTTGTTTAATTTTTTTAAGATTCCACATATAAGCGATATCATATGATACTTGTCTTTTTCTGTCCAACTTAGTATGATAATGTCTTGTTCCATCCTTGTTATAAATGGCATTATTTCATTCTGTTTTATGGCTGAGTAATATTCAGTTGATATGTGTATCACATCTTCTTTATCCAGTCCTTTGTCATTGACATTTAGGTTGCTTCTGTTTCCTTGGCAACTGTAAATAGTGCCGCAGTGAACACTGGGGTGCGTGTATCTTTTTGGATTACAGTTTTCTCTGCATATATACCCAGGAGTGGGATTGCTGTATCACGTGGTAGTTTTATTTTTAGTTTTATTAAAAAATTAACTTACTTATTTATATTAATAGTTAGGGTGAGCAGGGATCACTCTCTAGTTGTGGTTCACAGGCTTCAAATTGCTGTGGTTCTTGTTGCAGAGCATGGTGAGTTCTATGCTTATGGGCTCAGGAGTTGTACACGAGTTTAGTTGCCCTGTGACATGTAGGATCTTTTAATCCAGTGATCTCTATTACAAATGAATCAGAGATTCAAAGAAGTTAGGTTTATGGATTTAACATCCCATTTGGTGGGATCCTGGCTCAGGATGTGTGACTAGTTAGTGGCTGAATTGAGCTGAGAACTGAGGTGTCCTGTACTTTCAGTTCACTGCTATTTCCAGTAGACTACTTGTCATGGATTATTAAACTGGAATTTGGTTAAGATGTAGCATCAGGACTGTGTTAGTGTTTCAACTAAGGGCTATAATAATCTGCCTCCAAATCCTGATTCCTATTAATTTGGATCTTTCTGACCCAGGGATCGAAACCTGGTCTCCTGCAATGCAGGCAGATTCTTTACCATCTGAGCCACCAGAGAAATCCAAATAATTTGTAGTATCAATAGAACTGGCATACTTTTACATATTTCAGGTGTGTATCGATGCATAGTTCTAATTTTTAATCATGTTTCCTTCCTTCAAGGGCCTGTTTTTAGCTCTAGGCTAAAAACATGTATGTATGGCTCCAGGGTCTTGAAGTGGCCATCTATGATTTATTATAACAATTCCAGCCCAACACCATTGGCTACACTTTCCCACCCTACATTCTCTCCGGTTACTTTGACTCCTGATGAAAATTTATATTGGCACTATGCTTCCTGCAGTGTGGGAGATCTGGGTTTGCTCCCTGGGTTGGGAAGATCCCCTGGAGAAGGGAATGGCAACCCACTCCAGTATTCTTGCCTGGAGAATCCCATGGACAGAGGAGCCTGGTGGGCTGCAGTCTCTAGGTTCGCAAAGAGTCGGACTCGACTGAGCTACTAACATAACACACATGTAGGATCCTAGTTCCCTGACCAGGGATCAGATCCGTGTCCTCTGCATTGGCAGGCAGACTAGACCACCAGGGAAATGCCTTTTCAGTTTTTAAGGAGCTTTGATACCGTTCTCCATAGCAGTTATATCAATTTACATTCCAGCCAACAGTGTAGAAGGGTGCCAGGGTGCTGTTTTAAGTCCTCCAGATATATACAGACATCACCTCCTTAAAATCACTCTGTATGGTAGCGCTTTGATTACTTACATTTGGCTGATGAAGGATCCACAGTACAGAAAATCACATCTTTTCCAAGTCGCACAAGAAGAAAGGAGTACAGGACTTGAATCCATGGCCTGATGTCCGTGCCTGAGTTCTTGGTCAGCCAGCTGTACCTCCTTTCTCTACATCTCCCACCATACTCCCCATGCACCCCCACCCCCGCCCCCAGAGACCAGCTTGTATTTAGGCCAGGAGTTCTCAACTCTCTTCATCTCATTAATGGGATACAGAAATGAGCTAAAATAGTTGGTTGTATTAGCAAGTCCTGTCAGCTCTGCCTCCAAAATATACCCTAAGTCTGGCCACGTTTTCCCATTTCCATTACTAAATCCTCGTGCCTAGGACCTAGTCAAAGCCAGTGTCGTTCTTTTGCCTGAGATCCTACAAAGATCACCTAACCTGATTCTCACTCTAGCTCTCTTACAGTCTTGTCTCCAGATAGCTCAGTAATTGTTTAAAAACATAAATCAGGTCCTCTTCTTTTCCTGTTTAAAATGATTTAGTAACTTCTCTGCGCTTAGAGTGAAATACTGATCCTTTAACCTGACCTACAAGGCCCTGCACCAGCAGGCCCCAACCTTTTCGGCACCTGGGACAGGGTGGGGAAGGAGAGGGGTATAACTCGAGTGCGTTGCATGTATTGTGCATTTTATTTTCCATTTGGTGGTGATCTCGGGAGATTCCTCATGGGCTTGGGCACCCCTGCCCCACACAGTGCAGCCCCCCGCTCCCCTCCCTCCCTTGCGTCTTTGCTTTGGGTCCTCCTTGCTGGTACCTGCTGTGCGTTTCCTCCAGCCCGTTGTGGGCTGACGAACTGGCTGTGTTTGACCAAGCATTCTTTCCTCCCACACCTGCTGGCTGGCTTCTCTTGTTTAGTTCCTGCTTTACTCTAAAGATGACCCTGTAGAGAAACTTCTCCTGACCACACAGTGTAAGTAGCCAGACTACCTCACTGACACTTTCTGGTATAACACTCCACTTAATTTTCTTCCTAATCCTTGTCAACTCTGATTTTATTTATATATTTTCTTGTGTATTAGAATTTAATTCACTTTTTTTTTCCATTTATTTTTATTAGTTGGAGGCTAATTACTTTACAACGTTGCAGTGGTTTTTGTCATACATTGAAATGAATCAGCCATGGATTTACATGTATTCCCCATTCCGGTCCCCCCTCCCACCTCCCTCTCCACCCGATCCCTCTGGGCCTTCCCAGTGCACCAGGCCCGAGCACTTGTCTCATGCATCCAACTTGGGCTGGTGATCCGTTTCACCTTAGATAATATACATGTTTCGATGCTGTTCTCTTGAAACATCCCACCCTCGCCTTCTCCCACAGAGTCCACAAGTCTGTTCTATATATCTGAGTCTCTTTTTCTGTTTTGCATATAGGGTTATCATTACCATCTTTCTAAATTCCATATATATGTGTTAGTATACTGTAATGGTCTTTATCTTTCTGGCTTACTTCGCTCTGTATAATGGGCTCCAGTTTCATCCATCTCATTAGAACTGATTCAAATGAATTCTTTTTAATGGCTGAGTAATATTCCATGGTGTATATGTACCACAGCTTCCTCATCCATTCGTCTGCTGATGGGCATCTAGGTTGCTTCCTTAATTCACTTTTATAACTCAATCATCTAGAAAGTGCCTGACCCATAACAGGCACTCAAGAAATACTTGAATGTATGAAGACTTTTCACCCCCTTATCCACTTTTTTCATTAATTAGCTTTAATTAATTCATATGTAATGGTGTATGGGAGGGAGGTAGTAGTGGGGAATGCTGAGTCAAGTTTGAAGTTAATGTATAGAAAATGCCTGTTGCACATTTCCTCCCAGTCATTCTACTATTTTTCATATAGGAAAGTTAACGTATCTAACAGAGAAGCATTTTAGAATGTATGATTTATTATGTGTAAGAATCCCTCTTAGTTGATACCTGTTTGGTTAATTAAAAAATGTGCAGGCCAGAAGTTCTCCGTCACAAGTACTGTGTCCTGCCTTTGTCAGGGGAAAGCAGCTTTTGGCAATATATAAATGAAGAGGCGTGGCTCTTTCTAAAATAGTTACTTACCTAAACCACAGATGGGCTGGATTTGTAGACCCCTGATGGAGTGGGAGTTTTTCTTGCATCAACCACCGGTAACTCATCATCTGCGTTTTCTCCTTCAGTGTCTTTAAAGTGAAATGAGCCCTTGGCCACTCATCAGGCAGTCTTAGGGCAGGCTCTTGAGTTTTTATGACCTGACTTCTCTTGGTTCAATACAGTGTTCCTTTGTGACACCTCTGTTGTGTGTTTCCGAGCTTAGGTTTTTATAGAAAGTAGTTCTTCCTATTCACAGTCATACTTCATTTGTGTTTATATACTCCATATTGATTTATGTAATTATAGTAAAACTTGAATAAATGGGGCTGGTCATGAACACAGCTGAGTCTTGCTGAGGATGCACTGTGCTGCTGAGAGCTGAAGTCCAGTCAGAGCACCTGTGGGGCAGGAGCTGAGTCAGCTTGCTGTGAGGACCGTCAGTCCCCCAGATCAGTCGGGTGGAGGTCAGATAAGAGAGCCTCTATTGTGTTTACTTTGCAGACTTTGTTTTTGTTTTATAGAGAACTTATAGAAATGCTGGCAATTTCAAGAAATCAAAAGTTGCTACAGTCTGGAGAGGAGAACCAGGTAAGTGGTTTCTTTTTGGATGAAAATCAAAAAACCTCCCTCATTTCTTCAGTTTCCTGTTTTTGTTTATTTTGTGTGAGAACAGGAAGATCAGACTATTAAGTTATTAATTGCAGTTTTAAAATTGATATTTTTTGCATTATTTAGATGAGATATAATTGAGATATAGTTGACATATATGTTATATTTAATACATTATTTAATATATGTAATATCTTATTTAAATTTAATTATACTTAACATTAATAAATGTATTTCATACAAAATATAATACATGTATTTGATACATTAAACTGGATTAGTTTAATATGTGTATCATGATGATGTGATATATATGTGCAAATTGTAAAATGATTACAAGTATAGTTAACATGCGAGATCTTAGTTCCCTGACTAGGGATCCAGCCTGCACCTTCTGCAGTGGAAGTACAGAGTCTTAACCACTGGATTGCCAGGGAAGTCTTTTTTATGATAAGAACTTTTAAGAAAATTGCAAAGAAGGTGGAGGTGGCACCTTTTCATGTACCTGTTGGCAATTTGTATGTGTTTGGAAAAATGTCTGTTGCATTCTGCACATTTTTTGAAGAACTTTTATGTTGTTGAGATGTACTCTTTGCAACTTTCAGATTTATAGTACTGTATTCTTTATTATAGTCACCATGCTGTATGTTACATTTCCAGAATTTACTTATCTGATAGTTGGAAGTTTGTATCTTTTGGCCACCTTCACCCATTTTACTCCCTTCCCTCTGGCCTCTGTCAGCTACCAATCTGAGCTCTTTTCCCGTGTGTTTGGCTTTTTTAACATTCCTCGGATAACTGAGATCATACCATGTCTTTCTGTTTGACTTCCTTTAATGTGATGTTGTTATCCCAAATGCCAAGATTTCCTTTTTGTGGATGAATGATACTTTGTGTAGATGTGCATGTGTATAGATGTACATCACAGTTTCTTTTTCCATTCATCCATTCATGGACACTTAGATTACTTCCATGTATTGGCTATTGTGAATAATGCTGCAGTGAACACAATGAGTGCAGGTATCTTTTTGCAAGTAGTGATTTCATTTCTTTTGGATAAATACCCAGAAATAGAATTGCTGGATCATATGGTGGTTCTTTTTTTTTTTTTTTTTTTTAACTTTTTAAGTATCCTCCACACTTACGGAATGTTTTCTGCAGTAGTTGCACTAATTTAGATTCCTGCCAGCCGTGTACTAAGGGTTCCTGTTTCTCCACATCCTTGCCAACACTTGTTATCTTTTGTCTTTCTGATGATAGCACCTAGCTGGTGCAAGGTAATATCCAGTTGTGGTTTGGATTTGCATTTTCCTGATGATTAGTGATACTGGGTGCCTTTTATTCTGGTTTTGTTCATTTGTGTACTTTTGGAGAAATGTCCATTCAGTTCCCGGTGTCAACTAACATACATACATGCTTAGTTGCTCAGTTGTGTCTGACTCTTGCAACACCATGGACAACCTGCCAGGCTCCTTGGTCCATGGGATTTTCCAGGCAAGAATACTGGAGTGGGTTGCCAGGGCTGTCAACTAAAATCATCTCAAATAAATTTTGCCTTTCCTGAGAAATGAGTAAGTCTGCTCATTTTGGCATATTGCTAGTTCTGAAAGATTTCTTTTGTATGAAAGAACAGCATATACTTAGAAAATAGAAAATCTTGATTAATCTCTTTTCTAAAATAATCATGATAGGCTATTTCTAGTAATGATGAGAAAATAATACTTGGAAGGTGTTAAAATTTTGAGGACTAGCCAGTTCACCTGAGGTTTCTTTGTTTCATTGGAAATGTAGTTCTTCAGTGTTCTGTTGTCTGTTTTAACAAACTATTATCTCACAGGTCCTGGAGTTGTTAATTCACAGAGATGGGGAATTTCAGGAACTAATGAAATTGGCACTTAATCAGGGAAAAATCCATCATGAAATGCAAGTTTTAGAAAAAGAAGTAGAAAAGAGAGACAGTGATATTCAGCAACTACAAAAACAGCTAAAGGAAGCAGAACAGATACTGGTAAGCTGATAAGAGGCTGGTTCTTAATGTAAAAAGGGATATTATTTACTCTGTTTACAAAAAATAAACCTATTTTCAGAATCTTGAAGTGGCAGAAAATTTGAATTTCCAGGTCTAAAATCTAACCAAACTTGTCACTTCATTAGATGAAAGACCACTTTTTAATTATTGTTTTCAGATACTCTGCATTTCTTTAGAACCATATTTTCATTATTTAAAGATTTCACAATATTGAATTCACAGAAATGTGACATTTTACTTTTATCCTGTCCTGATATGTTTCATTTATTAATAGTCTAAATCTTCAGTTTTAGAAATATTTTTTGCAGTCAGTAAAAAAAAATTATATATCAATTTTATAAATTGATTAAGATGTACATTAATTTATGTCATCTTCCTTCTTAAATGAGGTGGGATTTGGATATATGGCAAGGACTCTTAGTTTTTCCTGTCTTGTTCTTGGCTATTATTTCAAAGAGACAATTTGTTCAGTTACTTCTCTCAGCGCCGAGCAACGTAACTGTCAGGTGGTGGTGTTGCAGGAGGAGCTGAGTTTGGTTCTCACCTGGACCAGACTTTGCAGGCTCTTCTCTAAAGACAGTGAATCTGAGGGCTATAAAAAGAATAAGTCTTATGAGTTAGGTAACGGCAACTGACAGTTTTACTAGTGTGCCAGACCCTGGTGCACTAGTGTATTAGCTTAATCTTAACAGTTTTATGAGGTCAGTACCATTTTTCTATTCTTACAGATGAAACCATGACTTTAAATGAATACCTGTTTTGCCCAAGAGGGTAAAAGTAGAGAGATGGAATTTAAACCTAGATCTCTCTGACTGCCTACTTTTACCCACTGTGTTACGGCCGAGTTTGCATATGCTAGGGTCAGCTTCATTTTACCCTGAGTTTGTCTTTGCCCAGGGTGGGTACGTGGAGGAGTTCATTGTAATATAGTCATTATGCATTGATAATGTATAAATGAATGACACCATCAATTCACAAACTTATGTCGTAAACTAGAAAAAAATAGTTTTGGTATTTTATCCTTGAACCAGATGTAAGGATTGTTTTGGGAGTAGTACCTGGTCGGTTTTCTACATTCTTTTGATAGAAAACATGAAGCAAAAATGGTAGCAAACAATCCAATTTATGTTTTTTTCCCAACAACTAATTTGTGAACAGAGGTTAACTCATAAATACATAAATGTGTTTTTTTCTCATTGATTATAGCTGACGTCATTGATGCCCAAGTGGCATTTCAGAATATTACAAATAAATTGTGGGGGTTTCCAAGTTTTATATATTGTTTCTATGGGATAAATGATTTTGTGAATTAGGCCAAAAACTGGACTTGGTATAGTTCTGAATAATCTGTATTTCTTTTTAAAATGTTGTTTAAATTAGGCAACAGCTGTTTACCAAGCAAAAGAAAAACTCAAGTCAATAGAAAAAGCAAGAAAAGGTTAGTAATGTGGGAACATTAGATGACTTTCTGAAAGATTCAAGTTTTGGTTTCAAGAAACTGATGAGAGTAGTATTGGTAATGGTGTCATGCTGTTAAAAAGTTTCCAATGAATTTTCACTGTGAAGTGTCTGCCATGTTACAGCCCTGTGCTGGGTGTTAGGGGGGTGTCACGTCCTTTTTTAGGTTACAAAATGAGATCAAGAAGTTGTGGCTGTTACTTAAATGTGTCATAAAGACAATGGGTTTTTTACATTGTTGGGAGAGAATATGGGCTGGAAGCAATGTGATTTGAGGTGGACCTTGAAAGATGGGATGGAGGATGAAAGAGCATGCAGTGGACAACTCGAGTAGGACCAGAGCACCATGAGGTCAGACTCAGGAAGGCTATGGGATGTGTGCACGTTCAGTGTCAGTGGTGCTGGCAGACGCTCAGTCTGCCTTCTCGTCCTATCCTGCTTCTCTCGTTAAACAGCTTCCATTTTGGATCTTTTAGTTTGGATACTAAAAGTCAGAATTGTAATGAAAACCTTGGTTACTTGCTTTTCATGATTTGTAGGTATGATTTACATCTAAATTCCCTCTTTTCCTATTTTAGATTAACTGCTGTTCATGTTTGGTGTGTGTTCTTCCAGATTTTTCTTAGATGTGTAATATATATGTGACAATACATAAAACCAGGTCATGCTATACGCATTAACTACTTACATGCACTTTTTTTACCTAATGAATATATGTATGAAGTGTAACTGTGACATATGCACTTACAAACTTGTATGTTAGTAGACTGAAATGTTGAAACTCTCCTCTTGACTCTCTTAGGTGCTATTTCCTCTGAAGAAATAATTAAGTATGCACATAGGATTAGTGCAAGTAATGCTGTGTGTGCCCCACTGACCTGGGTCCCAGGTAAAAATAATTCTCTTTCTACTAGATGTATGTGGTTTTCACAATTCGTGGGTAACTATACATAAAAAGAGGAAAAAAGATTTAAATATAAAATATGTATTTTAAGGTACAAGGTAATATGTGGTGATTCTAAAGCTGTATTATTTATGTACCTGGAAAACCCTGGCTGGCCAGAAGCCAGCTTTGTCGAGGGATTTCTACAAGGGCTGCAGCCTGAGAAGCAGACAGTCCCAACTCTCAGGGTATAAAGATGAAGCACTGGACGCCAGGCAGCAGGTGCACAGGACTGCAGAAAGCTGGAGTAATTAAGAAACAGCAGAAAGAGAGGCTGCAGCATGTGTTGAGAGCAGATAAAACACTTACAAGCCAGAGACCTCAGGTAGAGCTGCAGCCTTTTGGGAGGATGGGAAGTAGTTATTTTTGGTCATTCCTGGCAGTGGTATTTTGCCATACCTTGAAACATTAAGGGTAGCTGCAGTTTTGGAGGGTAAGTAATTTAGAGTTGGTGAGAAAATATCCCAGTATTTGTCCAAATCTGGCCAACTTTTCATCAACCCAAAACTAAACAGTGTGTTTTCATGTTTGGAAATGAACATCATTGGCTTCTGATTCTCCACCTGAAAGTTATAGGAATTAGTCTTTTTTGCTGTACCGTGTGGCATGTAGGATCTTACTTCCCTGACCAGGGATCAAACCTGAGGCCCCTGCAGTGAAAGCTCGGAGTCTTAATCAGTGCACTGCCAGGGAATTCCCCAGGAATTAGTCTTTAAATGACATGATTAAAGAGGTTGATTAGGAAAAGGTTTTAATTTAGAGGAATCAGGATTATAATTTTGTCATTTGGAATGGTTGCTGAAATAACAGTTTTCATATAGTGTTATTGTGAAGATCTAAAGAAGATATAAAAATACATGTAATTAAAATTTTAACATGTTCTTAATAGCAATTGATAAGATGACTTTAATATTCCAAAATTTAAAATGTGGCTTGAGTTTTTCAAAGTGAACCAAGGAAAATCAATATTTCAAAGAAGGTATTTAAGCATATTTCCATATGTGATTGAATTAAAAGCAGGCTCTATTTTTTAGGGGACCCACGGAGACCATACCCAACTGATTTGGAGATGAGAAGTGGATTACTGGGTCAGATGAACAATCCTTCCACTAATGGAGTAAATGGTCATCTCCCAGGGGACGCACTTGCAGCGGGCAGACTGCCAGGTATGTGTTAATCAGAATAGTACTTCCAGATAAAGGCTTTTTTTCAGAGATGATGATGAAGACAAAGATCTGGCTGTTGAACAAGTTTGAGGGTCTGGACCCATCTTACTTCAGTTGCTAGAGTTAGTTAACTCTACCAGTTTATCCTGCTCTCTGCTTCCTCTTGTTTAAGACTGTTCTAGATGGAGGCTGTGAAATTAGAATGTATGTGATGTGAAAGTCCCTCAGTCGTGTCCGACTCTTTGTGACCCCACGGACTAGAGAGTCCATGGAATTCTCCAGGCCAGAGTACTGGAGTGGGTAGCCTTTCCCTTCTCCAGGGGATCTTCCCAACCCAGGGATTGAACCCAGGTCTCCCGCATTGCAGGCGGATTCTTTACCAGCTGAGCCTTAAGGGAAGCCCCATGAAATTAGAATAAAGTGATATTGTGCCATTTTCCTCAGGCATTAGGCCTCTCATTAACTTAAGCTTCAGACATAGTTTAGTTTTTTTAAAATGAACCATACGTTATAAACAGAGTAAGATGTATTCAGTTTAAGGATACCACGTGAACATACTTATTAAAAACCCCCAAATTAACTAAGTGAATAACAAAGCCTCTAGTGGACTTTTTACTAACTAGAGTATCTTTTTTATGAGAGCTCATTCTGAACTTCAGCCCCCTCAGGCTTGTCTCGTTACGGAGCACAGAGTGGCCTCAGCACTGGTGCTGCACAGGCCCAGCTGCCCCGCAGCATGTGGAATCCCAGTTCCTGGACTGGGGGTTGAACCCTCCCTACTAGCATTGGCAGGCAGAGTCCTGGCCACTGGGACGCCCCACCCTGTATTTTTACAGGGCTAAAAATGTACTCTAGATAATGCTTTTTTAACGTTTCGTTGTCAGGCTGTCCCTGTGTTACTAAAAATGCTTTTGTGAACATTGTTAACTAAGACAAACTGGGAGTTCACTGTGCATTAGTTTCCCTTACTATCACCTCATTTTTCTCATTGTGATTGTACCATATGTCAGACAGTCCCAGCAGAAGGCTGAAACTACACCATCCCATCCAACTGGGATGCCGCTGACGTCCTGCCCACCAGCCAGGCACCACAGGAGGGAACGCAGGCCCCAGCAGGGGAAGAAGCCTGTTCCTCCTACGGGCTTCCGTAGCTTAGTCAGTAGAGTCTACCTGCAACGCAGGAGACCTGGGTTCCATCTCTGGGTCGGGAAGATCCCCTGGAGAAGGAAATGGCAACCCACTCCAGTACTCTGGCCTGGAGAATCCCACGGGCAGAGGAGCCTGGAGGCCTGCAGTCCACGGGGTCGCAAGAGGTGGACACAGCTCTGGTGACTACACCGCCGCCTCCTGTGGAGTCCCGGCAGCGCCCCCTGTGGGCAGAGCTGAGCACTCTGGCTGCTGGCCGAGGACGGTGTTCAGGGCCCAGGGCGGAGTGGGGGCTTAGAGGCAGCTTGAACTGGAATACTTAGCACAGTACACATTAGCTATTTATAATGTCTATAGAGAGAATGTATAGAAAGTACTATACAGGACCTATTGCATATTGTTAGTATATGTGCATAATATATATTGATGAGACATTTGATTTGAAATCGTGACCGTCTTGAATAGTGACTGTAGGAAAGTATGATTTAAAAAAATAAATCATAGATTCTAGTTACTAAAACATCACATTTTTCCTTGATAAGTTTGATCATTAATTTGAACAAATGTATATTTTGATTTCTAACCTTTAAAAAATATTTTTTCAAAGTATTTGCATGAAGGAAAGAAGTAAATGAATTACTGGTAGAAATGTTCTCATGTGTGCCTCTCTCCAGATGTCCTTGCTCCACAGTATCCCTGGCAGTCAAGTGACATGGCGATGAACATGTTGCCCCCAAACCACAGTCATGACTTTCTGCTGGAACCTCCAGGGCACAACAAAGAAAACGAGGACGATGTAGAGGTTATGTCAACAGACTCCTCAAGCAGCAGCAGTGACTCTGATTAGAAACCGTAAGACGAAAAGCACACAGAACTGAATACTATAGAAATCTGTTTCTTAAATGGCCAATGTGGAAAGCTAGCCAGGTGATGTTGGCTGTAGAATTGTTCTGCCCATTAAAAATCCTAGTGGACTTTTTTTTTTTTAAAGCCAAAGTTAGGTTTCAGTTCTAAACCACTAGGTTAATACTTAAAAATCACACTTTACTGTTGGGGCAAAGCTTTTTCAGTTCAATGCTGTCTTACCTTGTTCTGTTCCAGTTGTGTTGGACTTGTGCATAGTACTGGAAATAAGATTTGAGGGAAATGACCCATGTACCTATCATTAGTAGGCCTCCTGCAGTTATTTAGAAAAGCGTAAACAAGAGCAGCCGATCACTCAGTGTGCATTATATAACAGAAACCCTCATCTGAAAGTAAAGGCTATTACTTTCTGTCACAGGAAGAGGAGAAATCATCTCAGTTTATACTCTTTGTAATTATTGTATTTTCTGTAAATAAACGTATTTTTGCTTGTTTTCTTGTATGTTTTTAAAAATTTTTAAATGTACTTTCAGTGTAGGTAAGATATTTCTGTAAATCCGGTTGCATTTTGTACATACTTTAGAATCTGGAGGATGAACAAACCTGATGCAGTACATACATCTGAACTAGTAGTCCCAACTTTGGTAGGTTTCTCAAAGGCATAGACTGCCATTCTTAGAAGAAACAAAATGAAGTAGGTTTTTTTTTTTTTTAATTGACAACTCACCATAGAAATGTCGTAACAAACATAAATTGTAGGAAGGGTTTTAGAATGGAAAACACTCCTAGGCTTCACCTTCTCTGTTACTGCAGCTCCTAGAATCACTTTTAATTTTTTTCTGGTGGTTAACCTCCTTGTTTAAATAATACTCGTATACAGCTACATTTTGATTTATCAGTTTTAGACAGTACTGCATCCTTTACTCTTTTTCCTGGTGTAGAATCTTATCTTTAAAAAAAAAAGGCACAGTATATACATTGTTTAAAAAAAGCAGCCCATATTAAGGATGTTAGATTTGTGCAATAACTAGTTACACTTTATCTGGAAAGTGGTATTTCTCAAAGTGTGGCCACAAGCCAAGTGTACGAAAATCACTTGGGTGCTGTTAGAAGGCAGACTGAGGAATCTGCTTCTTAACCTGCTGAAGCGGCATCTGTTTGAAGCCTTCACATCCCAATCTAAGTACTGGGGCCCCAAAGCCCTTAAGGTCCCTGCCAGTCACTGCCATTCACAGCCCAAGAATCTTAGCACCTCTTCCCTTGAGGGGTTTTCATGTATAAACCAACACAAACAACACAACAAAAAAATAAACCAAAATGGAAAAATAGGACTCAAGGAATACAGATTCTTTGAATGTTGGTGGACCAGTGGATTGGAAAATAAAAGGGAGTTCCACGTTTATCTCAAATCAAACTGCTGTGTACATGCTCATTTGGTGTTTATCTGTACAGCTCTACAACCTCTCACCCAAAACCCTTAGGGCTAAAATTATCTCAGAACTTGGATTTTAAAAAATATTCTAGAAAGTTAGTAGGACTTAAATATTGAATATTATAGAATAAACCCCCAGTAAGAACTGAAGAGGCATCTTAATAAATTATGCATATTAAACCTTCATTTTAGGCACATTTCACACACACACACACACACAATTTCCCCAACATAGGAACCTGTCTCACACACACACACACACACACACAATTTCCCCAACATAGGAACCTGTCTCTCACACACACACATACACATTTCCCCAACATAGGAACCTGTCACACACACACACACAATTTCTCCAACATAGGAACCTGTCTCACACACACACACACACACAATTTCCCCAACATAGGAACTTGTCACACACACACACACAATTTCCCCAACATAGGAAACTGTCTCACACACACACACACAATTTCTCCAACATAGGAACCTGTCTCACACACACACACACACACAATTTCCCCAACATAGGAACTTGTCACACACACACACACAATTTCCCCAACATAGGAAACTGTCTCACACACACACACACAATTTCCCCAACATAGGAACCTGTCTCTCACACACACACACACACACAAATTTCCCCAACATAGGAACCTGTCACACACACACACACACACACACACACAATTTCCCCAACATAGGAACCTGTCTCACACACACACACAATTTCCCCAACATAGGAACCTGTCTCTCTCTCTCACACACACACACACACACACACAATTTCCCCAACATAGGAACCTGTCACACACACACACACAATTTCCCCAACATAGGAACCTGTCTCTCACACACACACACACAATTTCCCCAACATAGGAACCTGTCTCTCTCTCACACACACACACACACACACACACACAAATTTCCCCAACATAGGAACCTGTCATACACAGGCACACAATTTCCCCAACATAGGAACCTGTCTCTCACACACACACACACAATTTCCCCAACATAGGAACCTGTCACACACACACAATTTCCCCAACATAGGAACCTGTCTCACACACACACACACACACACACACACAATTTCCCCAACATAGGAACCTGTCCTCATTATTCCTGTTAAACTGATGATTGGATTTCCGCTGTCCTGCCTGGTTTTGGACTTTGTACAGGTCTTTAACCTTCAGGGCATCTCTATTTCAGACTTTAGCTCCTCTCTCTACACCTATAGAAACAGCTCTCCTTTACATCCCTCAGATGTTTCCAGGGTCAGTGTAGGAGGACTCACCTGGGATAGAGGACAGACACCTCGGGGCTTGATTTAACAAACACATGAAGAGCTATTTCAGACTTGCCAGCTTCCTGGCAGAGTGAGGTATAGACATTTCATTTTAGGAGAATATTGCTAGTAGTCAGTGTATTAGTTTTTTCTATTAAAGGCAATTCTCAATCATTTAAGAATTTAACTGTTTACTCAAGAGCTCTAAATCCTATTCTGGCCATTCGCTCTTTTTGAGAAATATTTAGAGTGATTACTGGATGCCACTGCACATGTCATATGCTGAGAAAGTGCAATCCCCCACTAAATACAAAACCTAACTTTTTTACTTTTTGCTATAAATAAGGAGCCCAGGTTGGTTTTTCTCTTTCCACTGAAATAAACCCTCATGTCTAGTTTGGTGAATTTAAAACAAATGCAAAAGCTCACAAGCTCGTAATGAATTTGTCTACTAAAAATTTTAAAAAGTGGGAGATATTGGAAGAAACTTGTCATTTATGTTAAGTCTCTGAAACTATAAAACACCTGTTTATATAATAAAGACATATCTCAATGAATTCCCAATCAACTGTACTTGGGATTAAGTTACAGAGGAGCTTCATCCACAAGGCCTGCCTGGGTTCTTCTTATCCGGCCTCCCACATCTACCATTCAAGGAGGGGCCTTCCCTGGTGGCTCAGACTGTAAAGAATCCGCCTGCAGTGTGGGAGACCCGGGTTTGACCCCTGGGTTGGGAGGATCCCCTGAAGAAGGGCATGGCGACCCACTCCAGTGTTCCTGCCTGGAGAATTCATGGACAGAAGAGCCTGGTGGGCTGCAGTCCATGGAGTGGCAAACAGTCAAGACACAACTGAGCAACTAACACTTTCACTTCACTTTCAGGGACAGAAAGGGTTAAGTCAGTTGAAGGGAGTAAAACTAAATGAGCAGGCAAAAGAAGGATGTGAATAATCAAACAGGAGTAGGAAAAACTGAAATTCATGAGTTCAAGGAACATAGACTAATTTTACTTGAGATCACTCTAAAAAAGTTTGTCAAAACAAAATGAGATTTGTAAATGGTAAACTCTACAATGTGCACATATAATTTAGAAAAAGCAAGCAATTAAAACAACTTTAAAAATGATCTTCATTCATTGGAGAAAGATTCTTTTGTAGCATGTATTACAACAGTACTTGAGTCTTCTGAAAGGGCAAAATTCAAATATAACCAGCTCTAGGAGAAGCATGGGATTTTATAGAAATGGGTTCATGAAGAAAAAAGATGAGTTTATGGTCTAATTCAGCAGTTCTCAAACTTTGGTTTTGAATCCTATTATACTCTTAAAAATTACTGGGGACCTTAAGATTCAAAAAAAATCTACTCGAACTGATAAACTTGTAAGGTGCATATGTGCGTGCTCAGGCATGTCCAACTCTGCGACCCCATGAACTGCAACCTGTCAGGCTCTGTCTATGGGGTTTCCCAGGCAAGAATGCTGCAGTGGGTTGTCATTAAACAAAAAATATTAGAACTGATAAATGAATTTAGCAAGGTAGCAGGATACAAGATTAATTACATAAATCTGTTGTATTTCTTTACACGAAAAATGGAGTATCAGAAAGTGAAAAATAATCCCTTTTAAAATCACATTAAAAAAAAAAAAACACTTAGGAATAAACCTGAGCAAGGAGGAGAAAGACTTATATGCTGACAGCTATATAACACTGATAAAGGAAACTGAAGATGATTTAAAAAACCGTAAAGATATCCCATGCTCCCAGACTGGAAGAATATTATTAATGTGGCCGTATTACCCAAAGCAGATCTACAGATTTAATGCAATCTCTATCAAATTACTCAAGCATTTTTCACAGAACTAGAAAAAAAAAGGATCCTAAAATGTACATGGAGCCACAGAAAACCCAGGAAAAAGCAAACATGGAGGTATAACCCTCCCAGACTTGTGACAACAGCGTGAAAACAGACATCCAGATCAATGGAACAGAATAGACAGCCCAGTAATAAACCCACACCAGTTAATCTTTGACAAAGGAGACAAAAAACGGAGAGAAGACTGACTGTTCACCAAGTGGTGTTGGAAAAGTTTGAAAGCTGCATGTAAATCAATGAAGTTAGAACACGCCCTTTTACTATACACAAAAATAAACTCAAAATGTCTTAAAGACCAGTAAGACATGACATTATAAAACTTCTAGAAAAGAACATAGGCAAAACTGACAAAATTGTACCAATGTTTTCTTAGGTCAGTTTCCCAAGGCCAAAGAAATAAAAGCAAAAAAACCAAATGGGACTTAGTCAAACTTCTAAGCTTTTGCACAGCAAGGGAAACCACAAGCAAAACAAAAATGACAACCTACAGAATGGCAGAGAGTATCTGCAAATTATGCAACTGACAAGGGCTTAATTTCCAAAATATCCAAACAGCTCATACAGCTCAACATCAAAAAAAAAAACCCAAAATCATAAAAGTGGGCAGAAGACCTAAATATCATTTCTCCAAGGACATACAGGTAGGTGGTCAAGAGCCATGAGAAAAGATGCTCAATATCACAAATCAAAACTACGATGAGGTGCTACTCCACACCAGTCAGAATGGTCATCATGGAAAAGTCTACAAATAAATGCTGAGGACGGTGGGGAAGACAACGGAACTGTTCTGTGCAGTTGGTGGGAATGTACACTGTGCAACCACTGAGGCCAGTAAGGAGCTTCCTTAAAAAACTGAAAAACGACACCATACAATCCAGAAATTCCCCTTCTGGGCAGATATTTGGAAAAGATGAAAACAAATTTGAAAAGATTCACACACCCCAAAGTTCACAGCGGCACTGTTTAAAATAGCTGAGACATGAAAACAACCTAAACATCCATCAACAGATGAATGGATAAAGATGTGGTACATATATACAATGGAGTATTACTCAGCCACAAAAAGAATGAAATAATGCCATCTGCAGCAACATGGATGGACCTAGACACACTAAGTCAGTCAGAGAAAGACAAGTATCATGATATCACTGATACGTGGACTCTAAAAAAATACAAAGGAACTTATTTACAAAACAAACAGACTCACAGATGCAGGAAAAAGGCATGATTACCAAAAGGGAAGAAGACAGGGAGGGACAAATCGGGAGTTTGGGATTAACAGATACACACTATGTTTGTATAAAAGAGATAAAAAATAAGGACATACTGTATAATACATGGAACTATATTCAGTATCTTACAACTATCTGTAATGGAAAAGAATCTGAAAATGTGTGTGCATTAATACATATATAAATCACTTTGGTATATACCTGAAACTAACACAACACTGTAAACAACTATAGTTCATTAAAAAAAAAACAAAACTGAGGCCCTAAAGAGTTTTTATAGGATGTTATCTAGTAGTATCATACTAGGAATTAAAACTGATAAATTTTAAGAATTATTTACAAATAACAAAAACCCCTAACACAAAACTGTTACATGTTCACATAATTTTTATAAAAAATATAGATGTTTTTCTTTAAAAAAAAGAGTGAGAAGCATGGCATTGTTTTACATTTTTGACAATTTCTTCCACATCTAGCTTACTAGGAGAGAGCTAGATTTTTGTATCTGTTTTGCAGTCACTTTACTAGAGTAACCTATAACATGCAGTCTCTGGAAAACTCCTCTGTACAATCAGCAAAGAATGAGGATGTGACAAAACAGACTGACCCTGAGGACACTTGAAAGGGCCTTGAGGACTTCTCCAGGCCATACTGAGAACCACTGCCCTAGTCTAGTCACATTTCACATACAAGGAAGTTGAATCTCAAGAAGAGAGATCAACTGAGATCCAAAATGATAAGGCCTGTTAATGGGATACAGATCCTGGATGGTTTAACTCGCTTCCCTAGGTTTACATTCCCAATCAGAAATACACCCTAATGACCTGTCCTGCCTGCTCTAGTTGTAGGAACTGTCAAAATATATTAACAACAACAACAAAAAACCAGGAGAGGAAAAGCAACAAATGTGATAAATTCTGTGTTAGCACTTGAATTAGGATCTCTACTAGAAGTGAAACACTAAGACAAGTTCTACTGCACTCTCCTCCACACACACTGGTAATGACACATCAATACCAGAGAGATACAGAAAGCGGAATTACCATTTATAACATCACCAATTATCACATTTTCTGAATCTGAAACACAGTTCATGACACAATCTGAAAATTTTTCACAAGTACTGAATGAAAAGATATTGGGTATATTAAGAGACTACAAATAAACTGGCCATCATGTCGGACTTCTCAGGTAAAATGGAGTTGTTTTGAAATTAGATATTTTTCACTCTTTAACAGGACCTTATTTTGCCTTTTATGTACTGGGTTGACCTAAAAGTTCTTTCGGCTTTTAAGCAAAAATAAAAAACACATTTTTCACTTTCACCAAGAACTGAACTGAACAACGTATTCACCATTTTGTTCCACTACCTTCTGCCATTTTTCAGGCAACTTCATAATTCCATCTTCCCAAAACTTTTTATCTTTTTGAGCAAAGAACTGTTCCAGGTGCCTTTTGCAGTCTTCCAGGGAACTGAAATTTTTTCCATTGAGAGAATTTTGTAAAGACCGAAATAAATGAAAATCTGAAGGTGCAATGTCTGGGGAATATGGTGGAGGAATCAGAACTTCCCAGCCAAGCTGTAACAATTTTTGTCTGGTCATCACAGAAACGTGTGGCCTTGCGTTATCCTGATGGAAGATTATGCATTTTCTATCGACTGACTCTGGACGCTTCTCACTGAGGGCTGCTTTCAGCTGGTCTAACTGGGAGCAGTACTTCTTGGAATTGATTGACTGGTTTTCTGGAAGGAGCTCGTAATAGAGGACTCCCATCCAATCCCACCATATACACAACATCACCTTCTTTGGATGAAGACCGTCCTTTGGCGTGGCTGGCGGTGGTTCATTTCGCTTGTCCCATGATCTCTTCCGTTCCACATTATTGAACAGTATCCATTTCTCATTGCCTGTCACAATTTGCTTTAAAAACGGAACACTTTTGTTACGTTTCAGTAGAGAATCACATGTGGAAATACGATCAAGAAGGTTTTTCTGGCTTAACTTAAGTGGAACCCAAACATCAAAGCGATTAACATAACCAAGCTGGTGCAAATGGTTTTCAACGCTCGATTTGGATATTTTGAGTATGTCGGCTATCTCTCGTGTGGTATAATGTTGATTGCTCTCAATTAATGTCTCAATTTGATTGCTATCCACTTCAACTGGTCTACCTGACCGTGGAGCATCATACAGAGAGAAATCTCCAGCACGAAACTTTGCAAACCACTTTTGACATGTCCGTTCAGTCACAGCACCTTCTCCATACTCTGCACAAATCTTTTTTTTTGTATCCGTTGCATTTTTACCTTTCTTGAAATAATCAAGCATAATATGCCGAAATTGTTGCTTTTTTTCTTCCATTTTCAATATTAAAATGGCTACCCCCAAATTCACCAATTTTGATAAGTTTCTTTTAAAAAATGCACATTGCTGTGACAGGTGTCGCAATACAATCTTACAGTCTTACAAAATGGTTTCAAATGAAGTTAGAGACAACTCAGCATGACTGTAGTCAGCCTACAAAAACCTAAGTGAACTTTTTGGCCAATCCATTAAAAAAAAAAACAACTTAGTGAATCTCCTTGTTCACCTCTAGGTGACTTCCTTTATATCCTACCAGATGATCCAAATCTTCTTTAAAAGGATCGTAGCCTTGTTCCTTTAAACAACGTAGTGCCCAGAAAAGCTGGTCCAGGGGAGGAAATTCTTCCCAAGGAACCCACTCCCAACCTAGAAAAGAAAGAAGCAGTTTCTTCAGTTGAAAGGAAACAAAGCATATTCATTTTGGCTAGTTAACCTGTACTAAGAAAAATTAATTTTAAAAGTGATTTGCTACTAATAAAACAAAGTGCAAGAGTGATGCTATGCATTAGCTTGGCTATACAAACATAATTTTCAGTGGCTCAGCAGTAAAGAATCTGCCTGTGATGCAGGGTATATGGCAGGAGCCGTGGGTCAGGCAGATTCCCTGGAGGAGGGCACGGCAACCCACTCCAGTATTCTTGCCTGGAGAATCCCATGGACACAGGAGGCTGGCAGGCTACAGTCCGTGGGGTCGCAGAGAGACATGACTGAGCATGCACAGATGCACAGGTAAATGTTTAAATATTATGACATTAACAACAAAAATACAATGATTATTAAGAACTCTATGTTCTAAATTAGTTTATGATTACATGTATATATCTATGTGTAATTACTGTTTCTTTCATTAAGCATTTCTCTGCCTATAAAATACAGATATGTAGTTTCAGTCTGGGAAGGCAGGGGACAAAGAATCCACGAACTTGGAACAAGTTCTGGAAGGGCTGATCAGTACCTGTGACCACACAGTATGGGGGGTGGGGGGAGGAGAGGTGGTGGAGGAAGAGGGGAGGTACACACTAACCGTGTCTTGCAAGATGCTCAATTAACTGAGTCTCCAGAGACCTGAAGTAGCATCTACCCTGCCTCCTAGAGGAGGAAGCATCTGGACAATCCCTCTAATTATAATCTGATGGCTGGAGGAAAGATGCGGTGACTGGAAGCCTGAAGCAGGCTGTTCAGATCCAGGGCCTGCTGAACAAGGGGCAGAGTCTGCATGCCTGTGTTATAAATAAAACAAAGACCCCCAAGCCTCTTGTACCATGGCCAGGTATCAGCTTCCCTAGTGAATTTGGTATAATCCTGCCTTCCCATTCTTAAGGCAGGAGTAAGTTTTCTTGTACCCTAGGCCAGCTGAAGGCCTTTGAATCCTTCTTGTGTTTTTCTTCATGTGATATCATGAAAGAAGAAATATGTATTTGGTCTTCATCCCTGTTTCGGGAGGTGGGTGCAGACCAGAAAGACAAGAGGCATGACGACAGGTTGGACTTTCAGCCCACCGCTTAGCCTGCTCCACCTTAGCGGCGGGAGCGGGGCTGGAGGTCTGAGTTAATCAACGGCAATGGTTTACTCAGTCACAGTGATAATAATCCCATCACATAATGATCCGTCATAAAAACTCCACACAGCTGGGTTCAGAAAGCTTCAGAGTTGAACACGTCAAGCTGCTGGGAGGGTGGCGCATCCATGCCCCCTCCTCCATACCTTGCCGAGTTGTTTAAACCCTGTCTGACTCTTCCCCGACCCCATGGGTTGTAGCCCATCAGGCTCCTCTGTCCATGGGATTCTCCAGGCAAGAATACTGGAGTGGGCTGCCATTTCCTCCTCCAGGGGATCTTCCCGACCCACAGATCGAACCCCATCTCCTGCACTAGCAGGTGGATTCTTTACCTCTGAGCCAGTGGGGAAGCCCCAGGAACAAGGTGTAGTACACGGTAAATAAAAGGATAAATAAAAGGAAATCAATTACTGTCATTAAAGCTGTCAGAGCACTCAATTCAACACAGAAGGTAACAGATTAGGTGTTTTGCAAGTTAATCATTTTTTATAAAAGAAAATTCTCTCTCTTGCACAGGTGAGAAAACTGAGGAAGGCACATTTAATGTTTTGCTTTAAAAATCACAGATTGAAACAAAATTAAACACTAGAAATAAAACTGAGTACTTACTGTGTTCATTAGGACAGGCCCACTGTAGGTAATAACTCATTTCACACTTACAATAACCCATCTGAGGGTTGTTGTACTATTACAACAAATGAGAAAAGAGGCCCAGAGACCTAAGTAACTTGGCTCGAGGTCACAAACCTCTTAGTGGAAGAACCAGGATGCAAACCAAGCAGTCTGGCTCTAGACCGATTCTCTTTCCTGTTCTATCCTTATAACTTCAGAACTTAAGTAGATTTAAATTCTAATGAAAGTATAATTACATTCTAACTCTCTTCATATGGTGACAAAGTAATCTTCCTTCAGCATATGCTCGTGTAGAAAATGCATTATTGTATATAATTCTCTTACTTTCATTCTTTTCAGGCTCTACATTCTTTGGTTCTGAATCATGAGTCAGGTCCACCTCTCCTTTCATTAAAATAGTGACATAATGGTAATTCTCTTTCTCAATGAAAGAATTCACAACCGAGGCAAAGCGAACATTTTTCAGGTGAAGAGCTGCTTCTTCCCAGGTTTCCCTTTGAGCACATTCTTCCCAGCTTTCACTGGAAAACAGAAACACACCACCATATTCAATTCTGTTTATTCTTTTTTTTTTTTTAAAGCCATGAAATTCCTGGCTAGAAATTTCCAGTGTAACCCCAAAAGAGCTGTAATTGATTCATGCTTTAAAACAATAAATCAACAAACCTCCTTGGATACTGTTTATCCTGTATCTAGTTCTCTGAAGACCAAAAGGACTTCATATTGAACAACAAAAAATGAACATTTAGCCAATTCAGCACTAGTTCACTTACCTGGAAGCAGCATGCAGCCAGGAGGTGGTCTGATATATCAGTTAAGAGCACAGGGCTTGTAGTTAACTAGATCTAGGTTTGAGTTCAAAGTCCATTATTTTCCACCTTAGATAAGTAAAAAGATAATGCTACTTTCTCACAGGCTTGTAAGTGTATCAAGAAGTGAGTAAAGTCTTTTCCAGTAGGTTCAGAATTTCAGTTTGTGCCTCAAACTTGAGAACAAAAGGCATTCACAAAAATTAAAATACACTGATTAGTTCACCTTCAACATATGATTGATAATAACTAGATATTGACAAGAACTGATGCTCTAAAAGTTACAAAAACCTGCATATAAATGAAAACATTTCACTGTACAGTTTTCATATATGAAACAAGACTAAAAATATATAGTATCTCCCTTTAGAAATGGTTCCAAATGGAATTTTATAGTCAGATAAAGTATGTATCAAATGAAAACAAGTATGAAAAGAAATCTGTGTGATACAGTTTTTCTAAAAGGCATTTCATATGCCTTCTAGATTAAATTTCCTTGTATTTATGAAGCACTTTCGTATGTGAGATATTCAGCAAAAAAGAATACTGCTTCTCTATCTTTTCTACCTTGACTATTTCCCTCATTATCTCATCTACCCTCAGTCTTCCCATAAGACAGACAGATCTTTGGGAAGGGGGGAAAGTTGCGAGTTTTCAGGCTGTAGGAATGTTCCCTTTCTTCCTGATGGTGGGGGGGGGGGGCAGCTCGGCCTCCAAACCAACTGAGAGGTGCTCCAAGAGAAATAAACGGTCACGGAGACTGGGTGTGGCTCTCAAGGGGGTACCGGTGTATCACCCCCAGTCAAAGGGCTGAGCTGTGGGAGCACACAGGGCCGCCCCGTGCCTCGGAGCAGAGCAACAGCAGGGAATGAGCTCTGGGGGTCTGAAGTGCGCCCCGTGGTGTCAGGGATGCACTGAACACAACGCTCACCCCCACTTTAAGCATTTGGAAGGTAGGAGACTGGGGAGAGCAGCCCACGATGACTGAGCAGAGAAAATGAGTGGCAGTGAAAGCAACATGTTTTCTCCGGGCCAAGCACATGCTGTGAGACTACTGGGGACCCAGCAGAAAGAAAATGTAGTGTGGTGTGCTAACACCAGGAGCTGGCGGCCAGCATCACAAGAAGTTCTTAGTCACCTCTGTCGGGGAATTGTGCAGTGCAGAAATCCTTGTAGGACTGGAGGACTTCCAACCAGCCACCAACACACCCTCAGAAAGAGCGCACACATGAATACTGCGCCCAGAGGGCACATGGAACGCAGAGAAAGAAATCAGAAACAGGGAGAAGAGGAGGAGGCAGAGAGCACGCAAAACATGGGCCCGCACCTCCTCTCCCCACCACAAAGGAAACACAAACGCCTGTAAGAGAACCAGAACACCAAAATACTACTTTTATTTTTCTTTTTTAATTTTTACGATGTTGTGTTGGTTTCTGCCACACAACAAGCAATCAGCCAAAATTGTACATCCCCCTCCCTCCATCCCGTTGATGGTGGGACAGGCTGAGACCCTTATGTCTCTCCTCTGTACCCGGCAGAACACAAAAAAACGAGGGACCAGAAATAACTAGCTGGCACAAATTATGAACAAGATTCAAAAACCCAACTGCAACTTGTGAGCTGCCAGGAGCAAAAGCAGGGTACCTCACATGAGCTCTGCACCCAGCACCATCAAGGGGTGTGCTTGTCCGTGCAATCTGATTTTTAATCTAGTAATTTTATTAAGTGATAGCTTGCTGCTGCTGCTAAGTCGCTTCAGTTGTGTCCGCCTCTGTACGACCCTAGGGACTGTAGCCCGCCAGGCTCCCCCTGTCCATGGGATTCTCCAGGCAGGAATACTGGAGTGGGTTGCCATTTCCTCCTTCATGGGATCTTCCCGACCTGCTTCTGTTATAGCTCCTGCATAGGCAGGCGGGTTCTTCACCACTAGTGGCACCAGGGAAGTCCTAATCACATGCAATATATGCCCTCTCTTTGATCTAAATTGGTACAAAACAGTAAAAACACATCTTCAAGCCAGTTGCAAAAAATGCTGGGCTGGGTATCACAGATTCTTTACCACTGCGCCACCTGGGAAGCCACTTGAACATTTCTGATGCTGTTTATCTGCTACAGATGTCATCCCTATTCTCACTTTGAGATAGGATGGGACCCTTTCCCTGGGTGCTTGCACCTGGATAAAGGTAGAGACTAAAAATAATGCATGCACAGTTGGGGCAATTAAAGTGAAAGTGAAGTCTGTTCAGTCGTGTCCGACTCTTAGCGACCCCATGGACTGCAGCCTACCAGGCTCCTCCGTCCATGGAATTTTCCAGGCAAGAGTACTGGAGTGGGGTGCCACTGCCTTCTCCGGGGGCAATTAAAGACTAACTACAAAAAAGCCCACAAACCTACAGCCATTTTTGAGTTGCTGAGAGCGAAGCAGGGTTACCAGGCATGATTTCCACACACACAACCACCAAAGGAGCAGGCAGACCACCTAAGCTGCCCCTCCTGCCCAACCCGCAGATCCATGCCTACGCCCCACTCCATTAAGGAACAAGCTCACCACCACCTCCCGCTCCAGGAGAGCGAGCAAGGGCACCTGTTTCTCGTTCTCGCTCCCTCCCTCCGGCTACAGCAGGAGCCCCGACAAAGCTCTGCCTAAATTCCTCCTCTGGCATCTTACCAATTTCTATCGATTAAAGAGTCCAAGAGCCCGGGTGAACCCACCTTCTAGGTCAATCTCAGCCTCTCTTCACCCTTGTGTAGAACTAAACTTTCTCTGTCGGTCTGACACCTCAGTTCACAGCAAGTCAAAGCACAGAGGGAGACCTTAGGGAGTACTTCGGGCGATTTCCCCGTTTTAACGAGGGAGGCACAGAGGCCCAGGGTTTCCGTCAACCATTCCCTTGGTTGGAGCGCTACGAGACTTAACTGGAGCAGGAAAATAACATACCGCCTGCGCTTAAATCGCCAGCAAACCGTGCAAACATCTGAAGGGACAACTACACTACTCGAGGCCTGTAAATACGCACTTCCGGCCTTTCAAGCGCAAGCGGCACGAAAAGACAAGTCACAACGCCCAGTCGCGTCTGGGCGAGAGAGGAGCTGACCCCTCGAGGGCAGCTCACACGAGGACGTGGCGACTCCAGCGCACGCCTCGCCCAGAGCAGCGCCCCCTGCCGGCCTCGGGCGAGAGACAAACGCGCGAGAAAGGACGCAGCGTCAGCGTGCACGCACGTACGGATGCACGCAGGAGAGGATGTCGTCCTCTGCGCGCCCGTTTCGTTTTCCCAGTCAGCCAGGCGACTGCTTACCCGAACTCCAAGTGGCCCCCTGGAAGTTGGAAACTGCCGGCTCCGAACGACCCTTTCCTCCTCCCCAGAAGGACGCAGCGAGGATGCCTGCCGCTGGTCACTACGACACCCACTCCGATCCCCGGGCGCCGCCCACGCGGCTCCACGTTGGCCGTCATCGCGCGAGAGGACCAGGACGGCCGCGACGGGAAGTGACGTTCGGTTCGCCCCGCCCCCGCCGCCGCTGTCAATCAGCCTGAGCAGGTGAGGGCCTGTAAACCTGACCTCGGCGGTTTGCGTCTCTGAGTCTCTGCTGCACTTAGGGGTTTCAAATTGTGCTGTTTGTTTCCTCCCAGGGAACTGCGCGGCCGGAGTTTTTCGTTTTAACGAGTGCCGTTTACTGTGGATGTTTCAACGTTCATTATTTATCTACTCAGATTCCTCCACGCGCTTACCAGCCTCCTACTTTTTTTTTTTATAAATCTCTGTGCCTTTGCAGATCTTTTTTTTTTTAAATGAGCTTCACTACAGTTAACTCATGCTGTGCTTAGTCGCTCAGTCGTGTCCGACTCTTTGCGACCCCTGCACTGTATCCCTGTCCATGGGATTCTCCAGGGAAGAACACTGGAGTGGGTTGCCATGCCCTCCTCCAGGGGATCTTCCCAACCCAGGGGTCGAACCCAGTCTCCCACACTGCAGACGGATTCTTTTTACCGTCTGAGCCACCGCGGAAGCTCAAACTCATGCTACTGTATGTATCTCTAATTAGTGTAGTATCCGAGCAAGGACAAATAGTACAGAAACACCGTGACACAAGAGTAGTAACAAATCATGGGAAGAAAATTAAGGACTAACTAATCAGTTATGCTGGGACGAATTAGTTACCTTTTTACCTTTCCTGTTTGCATGGCATGCACCAACAAAAATATCCCAGCTGAATCAGATTTGTATGGTTTCTGGTTGGGGAGGATCTTTTAAAAATTTAATTTAAATTGTTTTAATTCTAAAATAATGTGCACATAGTTTTAACAGGTGGTACAAAAAGTAGAAGAATAACGTTATTTTCTACTTCTGCTTCCATTCACTTTTAATGCTGAGCTGTTATTTCTGACGCTTGCTTACATATTTTTAAGTAATATGCTTACACTACATGTTATGGTAAATGAACTGATTAAACATTTTTAAAGCATCTCTCCTTCCACCCAGAAACTCAGCAGCCTTCAGTGTATTGTGCGCCATAAACATACTCCATGATATTTTCCCAAATAAAAATTGGCAACATATGAAAAGGAGACTATTGATATATCACGACTAAATGGGGTTATTTCCAGAAATACAAGTCTGGCTTAATATTTGAAAACTCAAAGTAATTCACCATACTAAAAAAGGGAAAAAGGAAACAAATATCATCTTAATAGATACAGGAAAAAATCTGATAAAATTCAGTACTCATTCAAGCAAATGGGAACCATTAAAAGGGTATCACTTACTGAATTATATGCTTAAAAATGGTTAAGGTGATAAATTTTATGTTATATGGGTTTTAAAAAAAATATTTATTTGGTTGTGACAGTATGCAGGATCTTTTAGGGGTGGCAAGTGGGATCTAGTTCCTTGACCAGGGATTAAGCCTGGGTGCCCTGCGTTGGGATCTGGAGCCTTAACAATTGGACTACTAGGGACGTCCCAGACAAGATATTAAATAATAATAATAATAAATGCCAGTAGAACAATGTGACATACAAATGTTAAAAGAAAGAGCCTTGATCTGTATCTGGCACCATATCTAAGAAGTCAGACCAGGGCTTCCCTGGTAGTTCATCTGGTAAAGAATCCCCCTGCAATGCAGGAGACCCTGGTTGGATTCCTGGGTCAGGAAGTTCCCCCCCGGAGAAGGGAAAGGCTACCCATTCCTGTATACTTGGGCTTCCCTGGCAGCTCAGTCTGTAAAGAATCCGCTGCAGTGCGGGAGACCTGGGTTCAATCCCTGGGTTGGGAAGATCCCCCGGAGAAGGAAATGGCAACCCACTCCAGTATTCTTGCTTGGAGAATCCCATCAACAGAGGAGCCTGGCGTGCTGCAGTTCGTGGGATTGTAAAGAGTTGGACACGACCGAGTGCTAAGCACACATAACAAAGTGGATTCAGTTCAGTTCAGTCGCTCAGTCGTGTCCGACTCTTTGCGACCCCATGAATCACAGCACACCAGGCCTCCCTGTCCATCACCAACTCTTGGAGTTTACTCAAACTCATGCCCATCGAGTCAGTGATGCCATCCAGCCATCTCATCCTCTCGTCCCCTTCCCCTCCTGCCCCCAATCCCTCCCAGAATCAGGGTCTTTTCCACTGAGTCAACTCTTTGCATGAGGTGGCCAAAGTACTGGAGTTTCAGCTTCAACATCAGTCCTTCCAATGAACACCCAGGACTGATCTCCTTTAAGATGGACTGGTTGGATCTCCTTGCAGTCCAAGGGACTCGCAAGAGTCATCTCCAACACCATAGTTCAAAAGCATCAATTTTTCAGTGCTCAGCTTTCTTCACAGTCCAACTCTCACATCCGTACATGACCACTGGAAAAACCATAGCCTTGACCAGACAGACCTTTGTTGGCAAAGTAATGTCTCTGCTTTTTAATATGCTATCTAGGTTGTTCATAACTTTCCTTCCAAGGAGTAAGTGTCTTTTAATTTCATGGCTGCAGTCACCATCCCCAGTGATTTTGGAGCCCCCAAAAATAAAGTGTGACACTGTTTCCACTCTCTCCCCATCTATTTGCCATGAAGTGATGGGACCAGATGCCATGATCTTAGTTTTCTGAATGTTAAGCTTTAAGCCAACTTTTTCACTCTCCTCTTTCACTTTCATCAAGAGGCTTTTTAGTTCCTCTTCACTCTCTGCCATAAGAGTGGTGTCATCTACATATCTGAGGTTATTGATATTTCTCCTGGCAGTCTTGATTCCAGCTGTGCTTCTTCCAGCCCAGCATTTCTCATGATGTACTCTGCATGTAAGTTAAATAAGCAGGGTGACAATATACAGCCTTGAGGTACTCCTTTTCCTATTTGGAACCAGTCTGTTGTTCCATGTCCAGTTCTAACTGTTGCTTCCTGACCTGCATACAGGTTTCTCAAGAGGCAGGTCAGGTGGTCTGGTATTCCCATCTCTTTCAGAATTTTCCACAGATTAGACCTACATAAAAACAGCTGAAAGTATAAACTTTCTAGAAGAAAATATAAGAGAAAATTTTTGTGGTTTTGAGCTAGGCATAAACTTATTAGATGTGACACCAAAGACATGATCCATAAAAGAAAAATTGTTAATTTGGACTTCATCAAACTTTAAAATTTGCTCTGCAAGACATTGCTATGGACTGAATTGTTATTTCCCACAGACATATATTGGAGGCTAGCCCCCTCAATTATCTGATTGTGGAGGCTTTAGGAGGCTTGGATTCCCTGGTAACTCAGATGGTAAAGAATCCACATGCAATGCTGGAGACCTAGGTTCACCCCTGGGTTGGGAATATCCCCCGGAGAAGGAAATGGCAACCCATTCCAGTATTCTTGCCTGGAGAATTCCATGGACAGAGGAGCCTGGAAGGCTGCAGTTCATGGGGCTGACTATCATTCACTCACTTAGGAGGCTTAGATGAGGTCATAAAGGTGGGATCCTCATGATGGGATTAATACCTTTATGTGAGGTATAAAGAGAGCTTGAGCCCACTCTCCACACCATGTGCAGATGCAGCCAGAAGGTGGCAGTCTGCAAGCCAGAAAGAGCTCTCACCAGATACTGACTGCTGGCATCCTGATCTTGGACTTCTTAGGCTCCAGAATTGTGAGAAATAACTGTCTGCCGTTTAAACCACCCAGTCTATGATATTTGATTATAGCAGCTGATCTGCTAATACAAATTGTTTAAGAAAACGAAAATACAAAATATAGGCCTCGGAGAAAATATTTGCAAAGCATATTTCTGCTAAAGGACTGGAACAAGAATATGTAAGGAATCCTCAAAACCCAACAATAAAGCAAACAAGTTAATAAGTAAATAGTCAAAAGAATTGAAAATATTTGAAATATTTGAAAAGAATTGAAAATATATCACCAAAAAGAAATATGAGTAGCACATAAGCACATGAAAAGATGCTCAAGTCACTAAAAACTAAACTACACTGAAGTACCTGTACACATCTATTAAAATGAATAAGATTAAAAAAAAACCAACCCCTGGTATTACCAAGTACTGGTAAGCATACAGACTAATTAGACCTCTCATACATTGTTGGTAGGATTGCAAAATGGTACGAACAGTTTGGCAGACAACTTATTATTTCATATAATGTTGAGCACATGCTTATCACACAACCCAGAAGTTCCATTCTTAGATGTATAACCAAGAGAAATGAGAGCTATGTTCATTCAAAGACTTGTATGCAAATGTTACAGAAGCTTTATTCATAATCATCAAAAACTGAAAATAAATGTTCTTCAACTGTGATTAGATAAATCTACTGTAATATGTTCATACAATGGAAAATGACTCAGCAGTACAAGCAACAAACAACATGGATGGATCTCAGGTGAAAAAAATCAAATATAAAAAGCTACCTGCTGTTTGGATCCATTTATATGCCACTCTGAAAGAGGCAAAGCTATAGACACATAAAACAGGTCACTCTTGGCCTGGGGCTGAGGGTGTAAAGAGTTGAGTACAAAGGGACCTGAGGAATTTTGGGGGGTGAAGCAACTGTCCTATGTCCTGATTGTGGTGGTGGTAACATGGCTATGTGTTTGTCAAAGCTCAGAACTATACACTAAAATAGGTGAATTTTATTTTATGTATACTAAATCTCAGTAAATCTGACTTAAAAAAAGCATAGTGCGCTTTGGACTTGAAGAAAGGAAAAGTCAAGATGCAATTCACCAATGGTAAGATTCAAGATCTTACAGAGCTTGGGACTTCTCTGGTGGTTAACTCTGCACTTTCAATGCAAGGGGCATGTGTTCGATCCCTGGTCGGGGACCTAAGATCCCAGATGCTGGTGGCTTAGCAAAAAAAAGACATTTCGAGCTAAACTGCTCTATTAACAATACCTGAAGTTGTCATCCTTGTGGGTGGTGGTGTGGAAGTGATGACATCTCCTGGAAAGCTAGCGTTACACTGGAGATAAGGGGAA